TCATCTTCGTGTTCTTTCTTCTGCTGTTTTTTAATCTAAACGATGAAGAAGATGATGAAAACGAAGATCCGGGTAGACCCGAGAACCCGTTTCCTCCGATCGTTAAAGCAATAGTCATGATTCTTTAGCTTCACAAGACAGGATCAAACACAAAAACTTAAGAAAGAAACTCTTTTTTTTTTGGTGGATTAAAGTAATTTTGAAGGTTTCTCAATAATGAAATTTGTGATTTAATGGATTTGGATGAAGAGAGAGGTGTGATTATATATATAGAGAAAACGGTGACTCATTTTTTGGTCATCTTTAAAGTGTCCTTATCCATAACGCTACCGATTTTCAAGGCCAAATTTTTTACTATTTTTTTATATAGATAACTTATTTTATCCATTCCTACTTTTTTGTTATTATGTTTGACAGTTTAAAAAATTTAAATTTCCAAAAATAAAAAAAAAACCACTTAACTGTGTTGGGGTCTTCATTCTGGTGTGAATTAAAACAAAATGTGAAAGAGGAGGAAAAAAATTTGTAGGTTGGTACTTTGGTATGTATAGTTTAAGTACAATTTAGTTTTGCTTTACTAATTATATTAAGGAAACTGTGGGTAGATTCACAGAAAACTAACAATACCCAAAACCATTGTAATTACGAGATTTGAAAAGTTTTAACCACAGTAATACTTTGAGATACTTTTCTTTCTAAATGATGACATTGACACAGTTTTTTTTTGTTTAAGGACTGATTGATATTATTATGCGTTCTTATCCAAATGGTTTGATTGAAGAATAAAAATAGAAGAAAGATTCCTTTACAATTTGATACTTTTCATGATCCGAAATATCCATGATTCTCATTAGAACACGCAACTAGTAGATTTATATATTTTTGTGGATCACAAAATGCACCAATTTAGTACAGTTTAATTCAATTGATATGTAATAAAATTCTTCTATTTAGAAATTGACCAGCAGACTATTGTGTACTTTCCATATGTAGTATTTTTCTTCTGTATAATTAAGACCAAAATTTTATAAAACAAAAATCTTCTAGATTTCAAGACAGAAAAAAGTAAAGTTCGTTTCACAACCTTAATTGTCTAGCTTACTAGTCTCTTGTTCATCAGCTTATTACTTGATAATGCAAAGAACAGAAGCGGATAATTTGTTCATTGAGTTCTCATGTAAATTCAACCAAAACAAGATGTGAAAGTTTCAAGTAATATGGCAGAGATAACAACAAACAAGATATAGCCTCTTCAAGATCTTCTTCTTCGCTTGCTCTTCTCTCTGTCGCTTTCATCCGAGCTAGAAGAAGATGATGAATCCGACTCAGATTCAGACTCGGAACCAGAACTGTCGGATCCAGATGATGATTCTGATTCCGCAACTTGCTTCTGTTGTTGCATGATGAGACGCGGCATGTTCTTCAGGTACTCTCTGAGATTCTCTGTGATGCCTCCAAGACCAATGGAGGTAAAGAAGTTGATTGCAAACCTCGTGTTCTTCGGGTTATCTTTTGGGAAGATAGATTCAAGTGATTCCTGCATTGTTGGATCTTGAAGCCTCTCATTAAGCAGCTTAATCCCCAAGTGTTCTGACAATTCCTGCAATCAATGCAAAGTTGTAACCAAATCAACACAACAGTCTCACAAAAAAAAATTCATTAGCAGAGAGGGTCCTAATTGTGCATGCAGTAAACAAGGAATTCATCAATCACATGTCTCATCTCCAATCAACCCAATGAGATAAAACCAGCTCTACAATGGTCAAATGAGTTTTATGGTTGTTGATTCAAGTTACCTGGAAAAGAATCTTAATGAAGATACGAGATGAGGAAGTTGTGTCTTCCTCGGTTAACCGAATGTAGGCAAGCACATGCCAGGGGAGAGCATCTGTGCCCAATAAATGGGCAAAAAACTTGGCCACATTACGCAACTTGTTTGTCTCCAGACGATGGATCATGGAGTACTGTTGAACAAAACATTTCTCAAAATTCTCTTGATGAATTTTGTTGATCATACAGAAACGCTGACCCAATAAACCGTAGTAGCGCAGATATGTTCTCTCCTGAGAGCAACATTCCAGGAGCATTATGCACAGTTCCATCTGCAACATTGAATTGGATAGGAGTGTTATATACATATAAGCCTTGTGTAGTTCCAGTAAATCACAAACTTTAAGATAGATTGATTGAAACATCAAAGCATTAAAGCAAAAAAAACGGGAAGAAGCGGAAAGTATAGATAATCAGAGTCTGGAAGTTTAATTTACCTCTTGACCTGGTTCAAGTTTAATTTTTAGTAACTTGTGACCTGCTTCCTCAAAATCAACGCTGGACATTATGGTCAGGTATATTGTCCTCCTGAGATTAACAAGATTAGTCTCTGTCTCGTCTCTTATTCTCATCTGTTCTTCATCTTCTTCATCAGATTCATCTTCCTCCTCATCATTATCCTCTGAACTAGCATCAGAGCCATCTTCATCCTCAGACTCCTCGTCACCAAGTAACTCCTTCTTCAGAGCCTCGTATTTCTTTTCGTTCTCAATGAAGTCAGGATCAGGTTTGAAAACATCTGCAAACAGAAAAATGAGAGATTTTTAAAATTAAGAGCTGTTTCAGTAATAAAGTAACACCTCTCTCTCTAGAACCATGGGGTAAAACTTCAAATACAACACCAAGCTTACCAAGAGCAGTTTCAGGAATTATTTCATCGTCAATAGAGATATCGTGTGAATATTTTTCCTCCACGAGATCTAGCTCAGGACGAACAGCTGGATGTCCCTGAAAGCAAACCATTTACACAATGTTATGATATCTGTAAAAATAAAGCATGGAATCATCTGTCTCACAACCATAGTATTATATTAGAATTCAATCAAATTGCGTAAATGGTTTCCTAGTAAACTACCTGAAAGTTTGCTTTCCTAGTGGCAAAGAGGCTTTCAATCAGATACTGAACTCTCTTATCTATCTCTCCCTCGTGCAGTATACCGCGAAACCGCTCAAAAATTCCTGTATTAACAATTGGAAGAGCTTAGTAACATTGAAACGCATGTAAAAGGAAAAGTCGTAATATATAAGAAAGCCACGAAAAATTGACAAAGACTGAAGTGAATTGCTGACATACACAACGCAATTCACATCATCTCTTGGAACTAGATTATTATAGCAGCATAAGTAAAAAAATCATTGATTTGTGAAAGATTTTGATGGATTAGGTGGAAATACTAGTAGTCTAATGTTTCTTCGATATAGCAAACAAGATTTCTCCGCAACAGAAAGAGAGGTTAGAGGACTTTTACCATTCAATGCTTTTGGTGCATTTTCCTGAAGCATCGCACCACACTCTGTCACAAACCCAACAGCAACCTCGACACTGTCATCAGTCAGGTTTTCCAGAAGTACATGGGATAATTCAAGTGCAATGAGCACATCAGCAACTTGCTGGTTTACTAGATGTGCTATAAATTTTACCGCAGCAAGCAATTGGGGCTGCCAAA